CCCCGGGATAGGATGGCCCTGGGGCTGCATGGACACTTGTCGCCAGGTTAGAGATGAGGAAACTGAGGGCTGAGAGGAGCTGTCGCACTGCAGGACTTGACTGGTGTGCAGGACCCCAGGGACCTGCCCCTACCCCAATGTGTGAGCACTTTGGAGCAATAGGCAGGGGGCTCCTCTGGCTGTGTGTCCCTGGGAAGTTGCCGCACCTCGCTGGGCCTTTTAGACATGGTCTTATAAAGACAGAACCGAGGCTCCCACCTGCCTTCAGGGAAGTGGGGAAAGCAAGTCAGGTAGTAAACAGGGCAGTGGCTTGGAAGCGCCTTGGAAAGGGAGGGATACTACTGCTCCCCCACCCTTGACCTTGCCTGGGCAGTGCCCTCCACTCAGAGCAGTCTCTGCTCACCTCTGCGGGCGGCAGGATGGGCTGTGCCTCCTGAGATGGGTGCATCTCAGGCCCAGAGGAGATTGGGTTGGATTTGTTCCCGGATCACTGTCTTGGCTCTGGGCACCAGAGGGAGGGAAACACGGCCCCGCCCCACCACGCCGCGGTTGGAGAGCAGCCCAACCCAGACAGGGCAGGAGCGGCCAAGGCAAAGCATGGGGTGCCCTAGGGGCTGGCGGCCCGTTGTGGGGGGCGGGGCATGGTGGTCAGGGAAGGCTTTCTGTGAAGGTGGGGACATTGGCGCTGAGCCCTGGAGGGTGGGGAAGATGGGTGGGCAGATCTGGCTCTCTGAGATGTGTGGAAGGGCATCTAGGCAGAGGGAACAGCAGGAGCAAAGGCTCAGAGGCTGGACCACAAAGCACATGAAGGCTGGGTAGGAGGTGGGGGGATGGGAAGCCAGGCCGATGAGAGGGGCCTTGCAGGCCTGATCACGGTCTGGTGTCCGGGGAGCTGTGGAAGGGCTATGAGCCAGTGTGAGGATGAGCGCATTTCCCCTTGAAGGGTAAAAACTTCGAGGGCCACTCTACTCACCGAGCCTGGAGGCCCAGGACCACCCAACACACCTGTTCCTCTTCCCACCCTCAAGACCTTGCTTCTCCGTTTCTTGGGCACATCATGTCAGCACTCTGTGCCTCAGTTTCTCATCTGTGAAATGGGCGTGATTGCAGTGCCTGCCGCAGAGGGTGGTGAGGACTCAGTGACTGATGTACATGAAGTGCTTAGAGCCAGGCCAGCACTCAGCGCCCTCATCCTTACTTCTGCCTGCCATGGAGACCCTCTCCCAGTGGTGAGCCCTGGCAGTGGTTTGGAGAGGGCAGTGCTTTGCCCAGCGTGGGTCCCAAGGAGAGTCTCAGTTTCCTTTTCTGTAAAATGGGGCACAACTGCTCACCTCCCAGGGTGGCCGAGGCTCAGGGAGGAGCCGCACGTGGAACTCCGGCCTGGGTGGGCTCTGTTGGGCCACGGCCGTGGGAAGCTCTCAGGTCTCCCCCGCCCCATGTGTCCTGTGCCCCTGTGGCCCTTCATGTGAGGGCCCCCATCAGTGTCCAGGGATTGAGTCAGCTCGCTGTGGCTGTCAGCAGAAGGAACAGTAAACAACAATTTCAATGTGAAAATGGCCTGAATCTGTTATCCCCAGGGCGTCTCAAGGCAGGGAGGTGGTGGGGATGGGGTTGGGACACGGCCATCTGGTGCCAGCCACACCTTCCTGACCCTCACGGCCCGCACGTTGAAGGTTCCTGGGGCCACATCTGGGCTGAGAGGCATGGTCTTCGGACGCAGGTAGCTGTGCCTGGTACACCTGCCGTCTGGGCCGTGCATGGCCTCAGCTGCCCAGGGAGAGGTTTGCTCTTTTTCGCATTTCTGCTTTCCTGGCAGATCCTGAGGCTGGCAGGGTCTGGGCCAAGTTCTGAAAGGCAACCCTATGGTCTCAGGGCCACTCCTGGTCAGTGCTGAGTCCACAGGAAGTGGGTCTGCTTGGCCCAGCTGCGGTGGGGACCCCGCCTCCCAGCACTTCCTGCTCTCTTGCTGGGGATTTCCTGCCAGGAACAGAGACGTGGAGCTGGGAGACCCTCTCAGGGCCTGCTTCCTGGGCTGGCCAGTAGGAGACGGTGCAGGGCTCCAGTGCCAGTCCCCGCCTGTCTGTGTGGCATCTGGGGAATGGGCATAGCAGCTCATGCCCCTACTGGTGGGTCAGACAAGGGATGTCGGAGGCCCCAGGCAGGTCCTAGCATATGGTAGGGGAGAAGAGGGGTTGCCTGATTCTCAGGTCCCCCCACTGTCTGCCAATGCCTGCTGAGTCCAAGGTTAGGGCCGGTGAGCAGGACAGGCTGCGAGCAGCCAAGGTCTAGACTAGGACCCCCCAGGCACCCAGGGCAGGCACCTCATCCACTGGGTCCTGCTCAGCACAGGAGAGCCTGTGCCCCAGGCTGTCCTTTCTTTGCCGTGTGACTGTTATGTGAGCCTGTTCAGCTGCTTTTGAGTCAGTGGAGTTGGTTGGGGAGGCAGAGTCTTTCAAAAGAGTGAGAGCCAGGCATCAAGGAATAACAGCCCTGCCACCTACTGCCATGTGCTCCACCAGCTACGGGGCCTCTGAGGCCATCCCATTCAGTCGCCTCCACATCCTTGTCTACCCATTTTACAGATGAGGAAACTGAGGCATAGAGTGGTCAGTGTTGAGGCAGGACTGGGGAGGTAAAGGAGGTGCTGTGGCAGCTTCCAGCCCTGCTTCTCACAGGCCCTTGGAAGGGGTGGATGATATGCATCACCACATTTGTGGACCCACAGCCCCTGACCCTGTCTCTGCCCATCCAAGCCCTGGGTGAGCCGGAGCACCCATTATGCTATGGCCAGAGCCAGGCCCGTGGATGCAGCAAGCCTGGTTCATATCCCACTTCTGTGCCAACCCCTCCTGCCTGAGTGGAGGATGCTCACTGCAGTGGCCCTGGGACCCACCGTGCGGCCCAGCCCCAACATGTGCAGCAGCCTGCAGTGGGGAGGCCGACTGTCCACAGAAGGTTGCACGAAGAGCCAGCCACGCCCCTGCCCAGAGCTGACCTCCTCACCAAGCCTCCTTCCTAACTTTCAGAGGAGAAATATCTGGCCTGGCCCCAGGCCCCGGGAGCTGCTGAGGTTCTGGGAAAGTCCCGCTGGCCCTGGGAATATATTAACCAGGGTGTTTATTCCCTGCCCTGTCCAAGCCATGGGCACAGGTCTCGGCAGGGCTCAGCTCCTGGCAGCTCCTGCTGGCCGGTCAGGACCACAGGGCTCCCTCACGTGTGGTAGCTGGGTCCCCCGGCCACCCTAAGGCCCATCCCAACATAGAGGCAAGTGCCCAGGACTGGGGGAGAGTGGGGTCGTCCTCCCTGGGACCTCCCTGTGCGGTGGTCAGCTCCAGGGCTCCAAGGCCCAGAGCACCGAGGTTAGGGACAGGGAAGCAGACCGGCCCTGCCGCCCTCCCCTCCACATGACGCTCCCAATGTGGCCTGCTGCCCATGGTGGTTGCCAGCTACGCTGTATCCTGGGGCAGCCCTATGCTTTGGGACACACAGTCCTGGGAGGTGGCTCTGGGCAAACCTCCTCCGAGCTGCAGTCTGCTGGTCTGTAGAATGGAGAGGAACACAGCCTCTCCCTTGGTAAGTGGGAGCTTCCCAGGTGCAACCCTAGATACACTGAGTGGGAGACTGAGGCCAACGCAGGGGGAGCTTGTGTCAGGGCCATGGGCTGGGCTGTGGTGAGCCGGGGCTTGACCTGCATGCAGAAGCTTCCTTAGCTGCAGGTTGTACAGGAAACAGATGGCCGGATGGGCTGGAAGTGCCCTTCACCAGCAGGGGTGTGTGGTCAGGGCATTTGCTGGCCACTCAGGGCTTGGAGGCCATCCCGGGGCATCTGCTCCACAGCCTCGTGGTACACCTGGGAGACTGAGGCACAAAGTGGGGCTAGTTGTCCTGAAGTTACACAGCTGGAGCCTGAAGCAGGGAGCCCCTGAGAGCTCAGCCCCTAAGGGGACAATGGCGTCAGCTACCAGAGCTTCTGAGACCCGGTGTCTGGGTTCAAATCCTAACCAAGCCCTCACTTGCTGTGTGGCTTTGGGTAAGGAACCACCTTTGCTGGGCCTCAGTTTACCCACCTTAAGTGGGCATGAGGACAGCAGGGGCACAGGCTCCCCGTGGCTGGGGGTGCTGAGAGCTGAGGCTTCGGGAGCTGGGGGCTCTGTGCAGACGGCCCTTTTTAATGGCTCTGAGTGTTCCTCGTGACAGCATGGCTATGAAATATTTAAACGGCTCTGCAGAGCTCAGAAAAAAGGGAATTCTTCCTCCTGCCCAGAGGCCAACACAGTTAGCCTGGGCATGTGTGTCTGTTTATCTATGTGTGTGTGTAGTTTGTGTCTATATGTGCATGTGTCTTTGTGTGTGCTGTATTGTGTGCACCTGTGTGTCTCACGTGTCTATGTGTGTCTTTCTGGGGGATGTGTGTTTCTGTGCCTGTGTGACTAGGAACATGCACATATTTGTGTAGATGCCCCCGGAAGGTGGAAATCCTCACAAGGTCTATACTTGGCCGCCTTCTCCCAGCACAAGTCCTGGGATGGAGACCCGGATGAGCATTAGGGTGGCCTTGAAAGAAGGCACTTTGGCACTTGAGGTTTGTGAAACAGGAGCACATGCCCACTGTGGCCAGCAGCCCCCTCGACACTGCACCTCACAGAGCACACGTGTGATGGGGTGTGACCCGCTGGACGGCTTCGCAAGAGCAGAGCTGGAGACCAACTCAGTGCCAGGCACAGGCCTTTACGTCTGGGCCGTCCTCACCCAGACCCTGGGCAGCCTGGAAGGAAGCCCCTAAGTGGATAATGGTGGGACAGGGACACACAGTCCTGGGAGGTGGCTCTGGGCAAACCTCCTCCGAGCTGCAATCTGCTGGTCTGTAGAATGGGAGAGGAGCACAGCCTCCCAGTCGGCGTGTGCCCTGCCTGTGCTGGGGCCTGGGGGAATCCCAGGGAGTGCAGCGTCAGGCCCAGGGTGGGAGAGGCGAAGTGCAGACCCCATAGTGGCTTCGGGATATGCATGGAGTGACCCGAGAGCACACCAGGGCCCCAGGGACAGGGCTGCTGGCCGGCCCAGGTAAAGGCAGCTGTCCCTGTGCACACCCGTGTCCACGTGAACTTGTTACTTAGAGAGCGGCTGATGCTGAAGGCAGGTTGTTGGAATGCCCAGGCCCAGGTGTAAGCAGCAGAGACCGCCGGTGTCCCCTGACGCCCACTGTCTCTTCCTCCTGGGCACATAATTTTAGATGAAACTGAAAACGCACAGCATGAAAGCAAGGCCCCTGGCCTCTGCTGGCTCTGTGTTGGCTGCCTCATGTATTTTTCATCGTGCATGCTTCTAGCCTGCAGAAAGTCAAGGCCTGGATGGATGCCCGTGTCCGCCCCTCCCTGTGGCCCTGTGGCACCCTGGCCTCCCGGCCTGCATCTTTCATGAGTCTGGAAACAGGATCTCCCAGAGCAGGCCCCAGGAGGTCCACTGCCAGCAGTGGGTTCTCACAGCTGCCTCCAAGCAGGTGACCAGTCCTGGGAGGCTGTGGTCCAGGGCCTGGCAGCTCAGGGGCGCCTGCGGACAAAGGGCTGGGCCAAGGGGCTGGCAGGTTTGTCCTGAGTGACTGAAGAGGGGCCCCACCAGGGCAGCTTGAGAGGGGCAGACTCTTGCTCCAGAGAAAGAGGAAGTTGGATACTTCGGGCTGCCTTGGAACGAAGGGCCAGCGCTAGATAGGACCTTCCTGTGGCAGGAGAGAGGGCCATGTCCTGCCAGGGGAGGTCCTGGAAGGCTTCCTGGAATCAGTGGCCTCTGTGTGGGGCCTTGGAGCTTGAGAGTATCTGGCAACAGGGAAAGGCACTGGGGGCTCCAAGAGAACTGTAGGGAGCCCCTCCCAGATGGGCCCCTAAGGCAGAGAGGATTCCATCAGAACTCGCATTTCCATTTGATTACTCTGAGAAGTAATGTGGAAGCTAAGCTCCACTGTATGTCGTATGCCAAGGCATCTGTTGAGCCTCTGCTGTGTGGGGGCCCGGCTCTGGGTGGCCCACCTCAGTGAGGGCTTGCTGCTAATGGCCAGATAGTTCTGCAAGGCCTGTGCTGAGGCCTGGAGGCTGAGTGGCCTGTCGGGCCCCAAGTCTGGGAGGTTGGGAGGTGGCAGGGGCGATCTCAGCCCTTAGGTCCGGCCCAGGAAGACTTGTTTCTTGCCTGGGCCAGTGTGCACAGATCTGTCCACCCACACGTCACTTCCCTTCCTGGCATCAGGAGCTCAGACTCTGAGGCGGGGGGAGAGGAGGCCAAGGGCACAGACGGGTAGGGGCAGGCAGGGAGAAGCAGCCGCGCCTATGGCAGGAGGGCAAGGATCGGGCAACGCTTTCCAGTGGAAAACCAGAGTGCATGTACTAGGGTTGCTATGTCATTTCCGTTCTCTCCAGGACTGTATTCCTAGGGGAGGTTTTATAAAGACCGAGCACATTCTCGCAGCCTCTCCTTAGGGTAATAAGCACTTCTGACTGAGCACTTACTGGGGTGGGGGCAAGGGTAGCCCTCACCTGCAGGGCCCAGCAACCCCCAGAGCCCAACTCAGGCGCAGCCCTTGCCCCTCCCCCACCCTCCTTGCTGACCATCCCCCTCCCCGCAGCCGGCCCGCTGGGGCTGGAGGCACGGGCCCATCAATGTGAACCATTATGCCAACAAGAAGAGCGCAGCCGAGAGCATGCTGGACATCGCGCTGCTGATGGCCAACGCGTCCCAGCTGAAGGCCGTCGTGGAACAGGGCCCCAGCTTCGCCTTCTACGTGCCCCTGGTGGTCCTCATCTCCATCTCCCTCGCGCTGCAGATTGGCGTGGGGGTGCTGCTCATCTTCCTCGGTAGGTCCCTGGGTGGGGCAGCCGGGCCACCTGCTCGCCTTGCTGGCATCTGCTCGCACCCCCGGGACAGGTGCCCACCACCTTGCACACTTGGCTCTCAAGGAGCTGCCGAGTCCCTGGCCCTCATCACCCAGACATGCAGTCCAGGAAGTGGTACCCCACCCCCCACGCCCTCCACTTTGGTTTTTGTTTCGTTTTGTTTTGTGTTTTGAAACAGTCACCCAGGCTGGAATGCAGCAGCACAGTCTCGGCTCACTGCAAACTCCATCTCCTGGGCTCAAGTGATCCTCCCACCTCAGCCCCCAAAGTAACTGGGATTACAGGCGCTCACCACCATGCCCGCCTAATTTTTGTATTTTTTGTAGAGATGAGGTTACGCCATGTTGCCCGGTCGAATTTTTGAGCTCAAGCGATCCAACACCCTCAGTCTCCCAAAATACTGGGATTACAGGTGTGAGTCACCTCGCTCGGCCTTGCTTTGTTTTTGAAACCGGGTCTTTCTCTGTCTTGATCATGGCTCACTGCAGTCTCAACCTCCCAGGCTCAAGTGAGCCTTCTGCCTCAGCCTCCCAGGTAGCCTGGACCACAGCTATGTGCCACCATGCCAGCTAAATTTTTTTGTTTTTGTTAGACACGGGGTCTTGCTATGCTGCCCAGGCTGGTCTCAAACTCCTGGGCTCATGTGATCCTTCTGTCTCAGCCTCCCAAAGTGCTGGGATTACAGGTATGAACCACCGTGCCTGGCCCCACCCTGCATTTTGAAAGAGCACAGAGTGGGGTCAGGGCCTGGCCTGTGGGCATTAGGGCAGGTGTTTCACTGGGTTCTTGTTGACTCATGCCATGAGATAGCCTCAGCCATGCCAGTCCTCACCTCCTGGGCCCAGGGTCCTCCTCGTGACTGCATGACCTTGGGCAAGTGGCTGAACCTCCCAGGCCTCACCTATAAAACAGGCATCATAATAGAACTACAGTTTGTGGCAGGAATCACTAGATTAAGGCCTGCAAAGGGCTCAGTGCATTTGCCCAAACCTGGCCTTTGGTTGACGTCCATAGCTTCAATTCCTATAAGGAAAGTGCGGGGGCTACAGAAGGTGGGGTTGTAGACTGAGGGGCTGCCCAAGCCAGGGGTGCTGTTGTCAGTGTTTCAGCAAAACGTGTATTTTTCTCTGGGCGACAAAACTCATCGTAAATGCGATTGAGGGCCCTGTAATGTCCCAGGACAGCTTGACCACTGGGGTGGGTCCCCTTCCACTGTCCCAGGCTGGGGTGCTGCATCTGGGCTGCCCTTGGCACCATCCACTCCTCTCTCGCCCACAGTCAAGTACGACCTTAACAACCCGGCCAAGCACGCCAAGCTGGACTTCCTCAACAACCTGGCCACGGGCCTGGTGTTCATCATCGTGGTAGTCAACATCTTCATCACGGCCTTCGGGGTCCAGAAGCCCTTGATGGACATGGCGCCCCAGCAGTAGGGCACCCAGGTGAGCCGGGAGATGGGGCGCGAGGCCTGCAGTCCTGGGGTTGCTCACTGTCGGAGGCTCTCGCAGTGTGGCGAGTCCCTGGCTGGGCAGCCTTGGATACCTTCCTACGCTATGGGCATCCTTGTCCACACCTACAAGGCCAATGCCTGGCCACTGTCTTGAGGCCAGCCTTGCCACTGGTGCTGGCCACCTGGGGTCCTGTGGTCACAAGGTTTAGATGTAATGTGTGTAAGAGCCACCATTTGAACATCCTGGAGAACTCACTTAAACATAAGATTTCTATGTATTCAGAACATCTGTCTGGAAAAAAAAAAAAGATTTCTGGGTCAGGTGCTGTGGCTTACACCTATAATCCCAGCACTTTGGGAGGCTGAGGCGGGCAGATCACTTGAGGTCAGGAGTTCGAGACCAGCCTTGCCAACAGGGTGAAACCCCATCTCTACTAAAAATACAAAAAGTAGCCGGGTGTGGTGGCACATCCCTGTAGTCCCAGCTACTCAAGAGGCTGAGGCAGGGGAATCGCTTGAACCCAGAAGGCAGAGGTTGCAGTGAGCTAAGATTGTACTCCTGCACTCCAGCCTGAGCGACAGTGAGATTCTTTCCAAAAAACACCCAAAACCCAGAGATTTCTGGCTTCTCTTGATAAGTCAGGGGCTCTGCACCCCTTATCAGCTCCACTTAGCAGGTGAAGCTTCCTCCCAGCCCTCATCTGAGAAAAAGTGGCCCTGGTATGACCGCCTGCCTGACCCCACTGTGCCAGTCTAACCAGGACGGTGGGATTCAGGATCTTGTCACATGAGCCCCTGTGACTCTTCAAGTCTGCCCCGTGCCGGACCTCACAGAGTCTGTTAGCTGCCTGCCCTAGGCTGGAGCCTGGTTGTGTGCGGGATGCAGACGGAGGCTGTCCCCACAGGACAAGGCTGTCCCCACAGGACGAGGTACCCAGTGTAGGAAGACTTCCCACACCACACACACCCTCTCCCTGTGTCCTTGCTCAGAGGGGGTGAGCGTCTGCCCAGTGACACAGCCTAGAAGCAGGATCCACAGGAAGGCCTAGGATGCAGCCATGGTCAGGGCCACATGGTGCACACACTACAGTCCATGCAGCCAGGCCGGGTCCACACACCACAGTCCCTGCAACCTCAGGCCTAGGGGTCACCCCTCCGGTTTGTAGCAGAGGTGGAGGTGAGTTGCCAAGGGAGGGGTGGGCACTCCTGGCAGGTGGCCATCTCTCCACCAGTGGTGGCCCACGGCAGAGTAGACAGGAGCAGTGTGCTTGGGACAGAGCACCTGTGTGTCAAGGATATATAAAAATTTCCCCAGGCCGGGTGCGGTGGCTCACACCTGGAATCCCAGCACTTTCGGAGACTGAGGAGAGCAGATCACTTGAGGTCAGGAGCTTGAGACCAGCCTGACCAACATGGAGAAAACCCATCTCTACTAAAAATACAAAATTAGCCGGGTGTGATGGCGACTGCCTGTCATCCCAGCTACTCTGGAGGATGAGGCAGGAGAATCGCTCGACCCTGGGAGGTGGAGGTTGCGGTGAGCCAAGATCGCGCCATTGTACTCCAGCCCGGGCAACAATGCAAAACTCTTGTCTCGGAAAAAAAAAAAAAAAAAAAAATTCCCCAAGAGGGCGTAGTGGAGGAAGAGGTGGGGTGCTGGGGCCAGCAGCTGGGTTGGGAACGCCCCGCATCCACCCGGCCTCGCCCCTCCCCACATAGGGGCCAGCTAGGAGTGGCTGCAGCTCGTGGTGACCGATGCTTCCCTACCACACCCATGGCCATTCCCCCAGTGGGGTCACACCAGCCCCAGTGTCCCGGCCATGGAGCCTGAAGTCACCTTTCTGAAAGGGCGCGGATGTGAGCGACCCCAGTGGGGTCCGAGTCACTGTTCAGATGCTGCCTCCAGTTTGTATTTGTCCCCTTCCAGAACACCTAGATGTCAGCTGTTCCCTGGCTTGGGGCATGTGGCCAGGCCATTTATTAACCACCTGCTGTGTGTGCTGAATGCAGTCCCTAACTCTCCCAAACATCAGTCATCTGCCTGCCGGGAAGAGGGTGCTGGGCCTGTGGGCCAGGGGGGGACCCAGCAGTGGACCTTAGGGCTGTCCTCAGAGGCTCGGAGGCCAAAGCTGCTGTGTGTCCTGCCTGGAGCAGCCAGAGAGGTCTCAGGCTTCGTGGGTGGCTATGGTTACAGCTGCCCAGCCCCAGCCCCCCATGGTGGGCCAGGCCTTTAAGTCCTGGCAGTAACCCGGCCATGCTATATTCATTCCATTCTCAGAGGGGAAACTGAGGCATGGAGTACTTTGACACCTCTCATGTCAGAATCAGTCTCTTCTCCTTCCTGAGTTCGGGTGTCCAAATGGCGCCGACACTTGGGGCTGGTCACAGCCTGCCTCAGAGCTTCTCTTCTCCCCGCTTCCAGGCCCAGACCCTCTCTTCTCCCTCCTTCCCAGGCCCAGACCCTCTCTTCTCCCTCCTTCCCAGGCCCAGACCCTCTCCTCTGTCTCCTTCCCAGGCTCCTCTCCCTCCTT